AACTTGACAACACTCAGCAGCAGCAATAAATGAAGAAGGCAGAAATGGCTACATACTGTATGATTCCAATTATCTGACAGCCTAGAAAATGTATAAATGCCGTTGAGTTGGTTCCGACCCATAGCGACCCTGTATACGGTTTCTGAGGAGTGATTGGTGAGCTTAAATCACCAAACTTTCAGTTCAAATGGCTTTGCAGTTTGGCTCATTAGCCCACAGTGCCACACCAGGACTCCATACAAAAGTATGGTGTTGTTGTTATGTGCCGTGGAGTCGGTTCTGACTCATAGTGACCCTGTGCAGGGTTTCTGAGGCTGTAAATCTTCACAGGAGCAGAAAGTCTCATCTTTCTCCTGTGGAACATCTGGTAGTTTCAAACTGCTGACCTTGTGGTTCACAGCCCGATACATAACCACTATAATACCAGAGCACCTTAAAGACAGTAAAATGTTCAGTGGTGATAACCCTGATAAGGGGCTCTAGATGAAGGGGTGGGCTGATTGATGAAGAACACAGATTTTTAGGGCAGTGAACTAATTAGTTGTGGGCTAATGCGCTGGATTGCAGTTGGTTTGAACAGAAAGGATGGTGGTTCAAACTCAACAGCCACTCCTTGGAAACCCTATAACAGGGTCGCTATGAGTCAGAACTGACTCAATGGCCCTTAACAACAAAAATATTATATATAATATTGCAAGGAAGAATACTAGCCATTAAGTAGTTGTCAAAACCCATAGACATTAGGCACTTGCCAAAACCCAGGGACTGCCAGAAGAACGAACAAATCTGTCTTAGAAGAAGTGCAGCTATTCTGCTCCATGGAAGTGAGGATAATGAAACTTTATCTCACATACTTTGGAGGCACCAGTCCCTGGAGCAAAACATCATGTTAAATAAAGTACAGGTTCAGTGAAAAAGAGGAAGCCAATCAGTGAGATGACTTGACACAGTGGCTGCTGCAACAATGGGCTCAAGCATAGGAATGATCCTGAGGATGCTGCAGAAAAGGTAATATTTCTTTCTGTAGTACATAGGGTTGCTGTAAGTTGGAACTGACTGGATGGCACCTAACAATAACAAAAACAGAACTGTTTATTACAAAAAATGAATATTAATGTATGTAAATTTAAAGGTACACTTGAGAGGTTGAGGAATTCCAAAAAAGAATTCAGACTGTGACAAGAAAAATTGAATTGCATTGCATATGCATGAAACAATCTCAGGGGATGGTTGGTGACCTAAGTATCTTTGGAAATGAGTAAAGTCTGTAAAAGTAAGAGCAAAAGAAACTGCAAATGAACACTATACTGGATCAAGTTGTTTCTCATGGGTCTGGGTTAGCAGTTCTAGTACTGCTATGCACGTACATATACTGGAAGCAAATGGATGGCAGATGGTGTGAGTCAGATTGTTCACTGTTGGAATGCAAATATACAGACAGTTATGCAAGGGAAGGAAAGTGGGATGATCCATAAGTTAATGGATTAGAGTTAGAGATGTTGTTTGTTAAGTGCTGAGTCCGTTCTGACCCATAGTAACCTTGCATAGGGTTTCTGAGGAGTGGCTGGTGAACTTGAACCGCTAAACTTGCAGTTCAAACTGACTTTGCAGTCCTATTAAAAGTGAAATGTCAGGTGTTTACAGATTACTTCCCAGAAGCTGAAGGCAATGGCCTGACCACCTTTTAGGCAAAACTTCTACTACGAAGTTTTGTCACATAGTCTTTAAGAAATTTGTGTGTACTTACTGGTGCAAATTCAATATGAAAATGAGGAATTACAGAGAGAATTGTTTCAATGTAAATGGTTTACAACAAGAATTACTCTGGGTTGTTTTTTGTTTTTTATGTTTTTGTTGTTATCATTATTTAGAGTATTTCCCAAAGAAAAAAATTTACTATCTACATACTGAGGTGGACAAATCTAAAAATTCAGTTTCCACCACACTGGACTAAGTTGAAATTCCTCTGTGATTCAGAGTCTTTTGTGCAAGGTGTGCACTCTTGCCTCTGCCAATCACCTGGTCTTTGGTTTTGGCTCTTGTGGGATTGAGTGAAGCACACAGGGCCATGTATACAAAAAGTTTCTAGATTTATCATTAAAAATTAGGAATGAAGCAAAATCATATTATTAGGACATGATTAGTTTAAATTCTGTTTTTCATGTTTATAAAATCATGTTTTACTGATTATAGGGTACAGGAAATGCTGACTGTCATTTTAAAATTAAGAAGAACTTGGAAAATGCATCCATAAGTCTGGAATCTATGAAGAACCCAGGGTTGTTTGTTGGACTTCAAGCAGATGGACACGCAAAGCCAGCTATTTACACGAAAGACGGGAGTGTTTTCTTCTTTCCTCAAGTCATTCAATGTAAGTTTACTTTGAAATATTTCCATTTTAATTGCTTTATGGTGATTTGTGTATATTATCTGGTAATTTGATCTCTACTATTAAGCTTTTGTTGCTGTTGTTCAAGAAAAAGAAAAGATGACCAAACCACTAGTAGCTGTTGAGTTAGTTTCAACTCATGGTGACTCTGTGTGTGTCAGAGTAGAACTGTGCTTCCCAGAGTTTTCAATGAGTGGTTTTTAGAAGTAGATCCCCAGGCCCTTCTTCTGAGGTATGTCTGGGTCACTCAAACTTCTAGCCTTTCAGTTGCCAGTCAAGTGTTTAGTAATTTTCTCCACCC